CTGTTTTCCCCGGGAGGGTGTGGGGTCTGGAAGTGACCACGGAAGGCAACAGAGGTCTGTGCGGACAGAGCCCGTGGACTGAGACGGAAGAGGGCAAAGAATTGAGAAGACTGGTGAGGGGCCCCTGGCTCCGTGTTTACTGGGGGTTTACGAGGGTACGCTAACCCATGGCTTGTCTTCCTGCTAGGAAATGAGAATGGTTTCTCTCTTCCCTCCAATTAGGAAGACACACCATGCTCATCTAGGTCAGGAAGAATAAAAACCGATTTGTGGATACAGACGCTGAGTACAGGGGAAAGCAACAGTTTGTATATATAATTAAAAAATATTATTGTATATGGGTACACAGGTGTGTTCATGATGTGTATATAAGTATGCAAGCCATAGTATAAGGTCAGAGGGCAACTTTGTGGAGTGCTTTGTCTACATTAACGTCTGAGGTTCGAAAACTAAGGGTGCTGGACTTAGAACTCACTCTGTAGATCAAGCTGGCCTTGAACTCACAGAGATCCGCCTGCCTCTGCCTCTACATCCCCAGTGCTGGGATTAAAGATGTGTGTCACCATGATGTTTATTGTTTTGGATTTGTTGTCTTTTTGCTGGGCGTAGACACTAGGGCTTTGCACATGCTAGGCAAATTCTCCACCACCAAACTCTACCCAAACCCCGTATCATATTTATATTATGAGCCTATCCTGTGTGGAGATAGAAGACAAATTAGTGATGGAGACTAAGGGGCCACTTTGCCATAAGTTGGCTGCCTGATCACCTAAAGTTCTACTTCTTTCATGAGAGCCTCAGGACCCTAGGCAGGAAGAGAAGTTCCATCTATGCAAAAGCCCTAATCTGGAAACAGCTTTATAAACCTCGGATTTTGGAGTTGGGGAGATGACTCTGCCAGTAAAGAGTACCAAGGTTGGATTCCTGGCACCCTTGTACAATGCTGCACGTGGCTGCATGTGCCTGTAAACCAGTGCTGTGGAGGTGGGAACAAGAGGATCCCTGGGGCTTGCTGGTCAGCCAGCCTAGTCAAATTGGCAAGCTCCTGGTTTGGTGAGAGACGCCATCTCAAGAAATAAACTAGAAATCAGCTGAGGAAGACACCTGAAGTCAAGCTCTGGCCTCCATATACAGCTGCACACACACACACACACACACCACACATATACACCTACACATAAAACCCTGAGGACCTGGGGCTGGAAAGATGGCTCAGTGGTTAAGAGTGTGTTTGCTCTTGCAAAAGACTCCAGCAGTTTGGCCACATTCGGTAGCTTACAATCACCTGCAACACAGGTGTCAAGGAGATCCAATCCTCTAACCTCCATGGACACCTGTACTCATGTACACACACACACACACACACACACACAATCTTTAAAAAAAAAAAAAAAAAAAGCAAAACCCTTTGAATTCACAGGTGGGGACAGGGAGGCCAGGTTTTCTTATCTCAGAGTAATTTGACACTGAATCAGCAGAACTCCAAGCTCCCCTAAGCAAGGTGACCCACCCTACCTACCCCTGTGGCTGACAGTGAGTCCAGGAAAGAGGGGAGGGGTGAATAGGATTTCAGGCTGTCACAGGAACTTTTCTTTCCCTGAGCCCTGGAACATATGGCAGGTGTTCTGAAAACTCCATTTCTGCCTCCCCAGGCTGGCTGAGGCCCATCAACATGTGGGGAGGGGGGAAAGTGGGGTGGCGTCTGCCTCTCCATCTGGAAGGCCCTCTTCCTCCACCATGGCAACAGCAGCACAATGAAGTCTCCAGTGTGAGCCTTACATCCAGGCTCCCCAGACAGACGCTGGGGGAGAACTCCATGGCCCCAAGGAAATCTAAGTCTCCTGTCCCCAGCAGGCCTCGATGCAGTCCACAGATCACAGGAGCAGCAGGCCAAAGGCCATGGTGTGCCCGAAACATGATGCCTGTGTTGCCCTTCTCTGATGGAGACGTCTCACAGGCCTCTGCATCTCTTCCTGCGATGATAAGATGCTACAAAAGGCTGGGCTCTGAGCAAAATTAGCTCCCACTGATAATTTGCACATTCTAGCTGGTCCAGATTAGAGACAATTTACAATAGGGTGGAGGTCCTAGGGGAAAATAAGACAGAGTCTGGGAAATTTGAAAGCCACTCTCCTGCCAGGCAGTGTGGCATATGCCTATAATCCCAACACTGGGGAGGATCTCAAAGTTTGGGGGCAGTCTGATCTATATAGGGTCTTCCAGACTCACTAGGGTTACATAGCAAGATCCTGTTGTCATAATAGGTATGTTTTCAAGGTCAAACAGATATATTTTAGATAGACAGGTCATCTTCAAACACTTCACAGATCTGCAAAATATAGCATTTAAGATGTTTTAATAAGCCGGGCGGTGGTGGTACACACCTGTAATCCCAGCACTTGGGAGGCAGAGGCAGGCGGATCTCTGTGAGTTCGAGGCCAGCCTGGGCTACAGAGTGAGTTCTAGGAAAGGCGCAAAGCTACACAGAGAAACCCTGTCTGGAAAAACCACAAAAAAAAACCCCGTTTGTAAAAACAAAAAAAAAAAAAAAAAAAAAAAAAGATGTTTTAATAACACAGGTTTTTGTTTGTTTGTTTGTTTGTTTGTTTGTTTTTTAAAATGACTATGAGACATGTCTGCTCCTGGCAGCACCAATCTACTTCAGAGAAGATGATGGGCATCAAAAAAAACTCCATATGGAGTTCTTTGTGGCAAAAGATAGCCACTGGGCAAGAAAATGCCCTTGCCTCAACTGCTAACAGTATGCTGTCCAAATGAACAAGTAGGACATAAAAGAAAGGACTGCTGAACCTTTCCAAGACAAGATAGGACAGCCCTTCAGAATATCCTGCTTCACAGAAAAGTCTGTCAGATATGTTAGGCCTGTAAGCCAAAGATGAATGTACCAACATTGCAGAGGAACCTTGGGTGACTATCCAGGCAGCCAGCTGTTTCTGTCATTTCTCACATTTTTTGGAAGTCGATTGCTTGTACTTCCTGCTTATTCAGTTAATATTATTTCCTTCTCGGGTCTCTGATGGAGTTGATAGTTATAGTTTTCCTAGTTAACAAATTCAGAAAAGAAACTCACTAAAGAGTTGTAAAGTGTATAAGTTTGAAAGACATCAAAAGATAGTTTTGGGTTGGTAATACAAGTTAGAATAGAAAATGAATTAGGTACAACATTTTGGACTCACCAAAATAGGATAAATAATGGAGTATTTTCTCTCAATTTGTCAAATGTTTATGGACTGGACATTGTTAATGTAGTTCTTGACTATATATTATATGTAGTTATTGTATTTACTGTATATAGTTTTTCTTATATTAGTTATAACCTCTTATTATTTTAGACAAAAAAAAGGGGAAACATGGTGATATATTGTTTGTAATATAGGAAATAAAGCTTGCCTGAAGATCAGAGGACAGAGCCAGCCACAGACTTAGCCACAGAGATCAGGCAGTGGTGGCACACACCTTTAATCCTAGCACTTGTGAGGCAGAGGCAGAGATCCGCCTGGATTTCTGTGAGTTCAAGGCCACAGTGGACTACATGAGATTAATGCAGTCTAAAAGAGAAACAGAGCCAGGCAGTGGTGGCATGTCTTTAATCCCAGCACTAGGAAGGTTGAAAAAGGAAGTAATATGGCTGGGCAGAGAAAGGAATATAAGGTGGGAGGAGACAGGAACTTTAGCTCTTTCAGGCTGTGGAGCTGGTGAGGTAAGAGGTGGTGGCTGTGGCTTGCTCTGCTTCTCTGACCTTTCACCTTGCTATCTGGCTCCAGGTTTTTATTACAAGGCCATTTAGGATTCATGCAACAGGGGGAGGTTTCCAATAGGGGTGGGCAGCCCAAGTTCACAAATGCAGCAAGAAGCAATGAAGGAAGAGGTCTGTGATGGGACAGAGCTTCACCAGTGTGCCTGCCATCTAGGGAGTGATGAGGAAAGAAGACATGAATCCAGAGGAGAAAGAGCCTGAGATCTGGCCATTATTACTGAGACTCTTGGTCTATCTATCCTAGAGCGATTTTTAAGTAGCAAGATGACATAGCAGACCTCTGTGGTCAGGAGCTCACCCAAGCTACAGTACAGTGATAGAGCAATCCTCACTAAGAAGGACCGATGGCTAGAGATGGACTGTTTTCAGTGAGGCCTCTTTGGAAGGTGTAGGCCCTACAAGGAATGTGCTCAGGCCTGGTGGCTACATCATGGATCCAAATCAAGCAGTTCTACCTCTAGACACCTCTAAACATAGAGTGCTAGGGCCCATGCAGAGTCCTCATGGAAAGAAGCAGGAGACACGAGGTCAAGGACACAGGCCTGGCATCAAGCAGCTATGGTCTCAAATACTGTCTGTTATACACTAGCTGGGCAACCCAAAACAAGTTTCTAAGCTTCTCTGCGCCTTGCTCACACCAGTTACCAAGACTGTCTTCTAAAACCACTATGTAGATTCATCAAGATCCAACTGTGAATATCCTGATTTGCTGTGGGAACAATCCTTTTGTATACTGTGAAGGTGTTTTGCTCTCATTGGTTTAATAGAGAGCCAAATGGCCAAGAGCTAGGCAGAAAGAGGTTAGGCAGGAGAGCCAGACTGAGAGAATGCTGGGAAGAAGGGGGCAGAGTCACCAGTCAGATGCAGAGGAAGCAGGAGATGAACATGCTGTGCTGAAAAAGGTACCGCCACATGGTAGAACACAGATAAGAAATATGGGTTAATTTAAGTTGTAAGAGCTAGTTAGTAACAAGTCTACGCTATTGGCTGAGCATTTATAATTCCTAAGTCTCTGTGTGGGTATTTGGAAGCTGGCTGGCAGGACAGAAAACCCCACCTACACTTATTAGTTTCTCTGGTATATTATAGGTGCAAAAAATATTGGCAGTTATTAAGACAGTTCCCATCCAGCAAAGGATGAACACGGAGGCCATGGAAAGTGTATGGAAATAAGTAGTGGTTTAGCAGCAACCCAGCTGGCCACAGGTAAGTTTCTACTTACTTGCCAGCAGGAGGCAGGAGACGGCCACAGTATACAGCTGCTTGGAGGTGGTGATGTTGTATTGGTCCATGAAGTGGTCCAGCAGGTAGATGGCCAGGTGCCGGGCTGAGGGGCACAGATGGCAGTGTCTGCTCAGCAGGGTCAGAATGTCTACAAAGAACCGACGGCTCTTCAGGAGCGGGGAGTGGGCGCGGAAGGTAGGCAGCTTCAGTTCCTGGAGGAAAGTGAACAGAAAAGGGTCAAGGACACTGAGACCCAGGGCCTGCCTGTGGATTGGCAGGGGTGGGCAGCGATTCCCTCTATGTCCCGCTCATTTGTTTCAAATCTCAGGTGGTGGTGCTTCTGTTCTAGAAACTCTAGACCAGTTCCCATCCACCCTCCCTAAGCACAGGCCCACGAGTCCCATCATGATGACAGAGGAGAAAGGTGCTGTGCCAATACTTAAAGCCACGAAAGAATGGTGTCTTCCAGGCAGAGACCCACATCCAAATTATGATTCTAACGAGTAGCCAAGTCACTTCTTTCCCTTTTTTCTTCTTCAGTAGCCGAGGTTTAATGAGAATATGTGCTGGATGTCTAGCACACAGAAACCTCTCTGGGTTCTCTGATAATTCCCTCTGTGTATAGGATTGTGAGTGGTTTGGGGAAAAAAAAAATAAAAACAAGACTAAACTAAATGGTGCTGTTGGACATGACTGTAATCCCAGTACCCAGGAGGCAGAGGCAGGAGGATGGCTGAAAGTTTGGGGCCAGCCTGTTCTACACTGTGAGTTCTAGATAGCCAAGGCAACAGCAAGGACATGCCTCAGTAAACAAACAAATAGATTTGAAAGACTAGTTCAAGGAACTAGCAAGTCCTGTCCACTGTGACCACTCATGGTGGACATTTTGCCTTCTGTCTCCACCCTTACACAGTTTCTCACTACAGGCTCTGAATACTATCATTCTCCTCTCTCATGGTATCATCTACTTTGTAATTTCTACACTGCCATGTTTTCTGAATTTATCTGCTGAACACAAGAAAAAACAGGGAAAGAAATATTAAATCAAGAAAGCGTTTTTATTTTTGAGACAGGGTCTCACTCTACGGCTCAGGATAGCTAGAACGTACTATACAACACGGCCTGTCTTGAAGTCAAGCCACTGTCTCAGCTTCCCAAACACTGGATTTCAGATGTAAGCCATCAAACCTTCTTTTTAAAATTATTTTTATTTTATGTGTATGAGTATTTGCCTACATGTACGTGTGTGTGTGTGTGTGTGTGTGTGTGTGTGTGTGTGTGTGTGTGTGTGTGCATACATTCCTGGTGCTCTAGGAGGCCAGAAGAGGGCATCAGACCCCCTGGATTAGATTCTTGTGAGCTGCTGGGAACTGAACCTGGGTTCTCTGAAAGAGGTGAAAGTGCTTTTAACTGCTGAGCCCCTTCCCACTGCACCAAGGCTGCGCAAGGCGTCACACCACGGTCACCGTGCTCCCAAAAGCCTGCCCAACACATACAAATCTTATGGGTATCCTGTCAACTAGGGAAACAGAAGAGAAAAGAAACTGAAGCCGGGCGGTGGTGGCACACGCCTTTAATCCCAGCACTCGGGAGGCAGAGCCAGGCGGATCTCTGTGAGTTCGAGGCCAACCTGGGCTACCAAG